GTCAAAATTGCACTAATGTCCATGTGCAGACACAGAGTTGATGCAAAGTTTTATCATCTTTGAAAGTCCTGGAAAAAGCAGGATGTTTTATTTTCCTGTATCACAATATTCTGCCAGAGTCAGGGAATGCCGGCGTCAACTGAAAATGCTGTCAAACACTTTCATCTCAGTAATGATTCCAACAGCTCCCAAGAAGTGAGGGTTTTTTCCCTCCCCTTTTTTCAACAGCTTGTTACTTAACCCTAGAACAAGTTCACAACCCAATTATTATTTCCTCCTCCTTCTGTCACGCATAAACATGCAAATATAACTCATTAATCCCAAGTATGCATTAGATTAATGAAAGTTCCTTAAAAATTGTCTCAAATTGCATTTCTTATACTCTTATAAGGCAGAGGCTACAGCCTGTATTTTCATCTACTGCAAGACTGAGAATACCTGGTTTTTTAAGAGAGATGTCTGCCATCACTCTCACGTAATCTTCCAGCTCCTCTCTAAAAAGCTGCCTGTTCCCCTGAAATCCAGTTCCCCCCCGTGAATCCCAGGCCACTCTGGCTTCTTCCGTTACCGGTAGCTAATCCGACGTGCATAGAAGTTTCTGAACTCGCAGCGAGTTTCTGAGCCTGCAGCAAACTTTCCAGTCTCCAAACTACATCATTTTATCAGCCATTTCAGGAGTGGTAAATAAAGCCTTTTAAATCAAATGATTAGCGTTTTATAACCTGAGTTTGTACTCAAGATAAATTTTTCATCATAAAATAATTAAGCCATCAAGTACCTAAGAATTTTGAAAGCATTTGTTTTAACAGCAAGGTACAGATAAATTCTCTACTTCTTCTTAAAAATTCATACCATCAAAATACTTCAGTTGAAAATTACATTAGTTTTATACAGTTTTATTATTATTAGGTTATTATTACTAGCTTATTATTAATTGTGGGCTTAAAACAGTACACTGACATAGGATGCAATTAATACACACTTTGGTTTTACTAGTTAGATGAAAACAACCACCCAACTGAAGATGCAGTTAAGACCTAGGGAACCGTTTAACGCCTCTCGTGGCCTTCTCCTTAGTCATTACGAGCGACCAACATACACGGTACAAGGCTCCCACAGGCAGAGCTATCAGCGCCATTTGTTATTAACGCTGTCCAACGCTTGCCAGGCAAAAAGTCCTCTTCCAGGAACAGCTAACTGGTTCAGACTTTAAAAGAGACTTATTTAAAACCTTCTGCAATTCCACTTTGGCAGAACCTAGAGAGGACCCTGACGTGCAGCTAAAGGGGACCGCTGCAGGGAGGAAGAGGAAGAGGAGGCCGATTCGACAGGGAGATGGGGTAGAAAAGACCATGAGCTAAGGACTTAGATGGGGTGAGCCTGGCTTTCCACACTCTCTCCGCTTACTTCACGCCCCTTCTGTAGGAAGGAATGACAGGGACCACCCCAGCTGAGAACATTCCCTGTGCCCCTGACCGGGGTTTTTGGGCACAGGCCACGCTGGTGCTACGGCCGCCCCGCAGAAAATGAGGCCTTGCCTTTCTCAGTCCTCATGGCAGCTTCAGGCCAGCCAGGAGAGTTACCAGCTCGCTTTTGCCATCCTGGCTGAAGTTGAATCACAAATTCAAAATGCCAAGTTTGGTAATCTCAGCCGCGTTCGACTTTGCACAGCTATTTATATCAGGCATGTGGCATGGTCAAAAATCTCAGGATATTCAGCCATGGTATTAATAGAACAAAGATGGAGGTTTACTTCGGTTCTGCCTTTAGCTGGACAGTATACAACTGATGTGTGAGAACAGGATAAACATGTTTCTGTTCTGTTCTTCATTTGAGAACTGGCACCCACAGAAGCCTGACAATCAAACGAAATGACTTTGTAGAGGGGCCAAACAGGCTTTGCCATGACAAGGCTGCGATAATTGAGGGCACAGGAGTTATTTCTCCAGTGACTGAGAACCCGTGCTGGTGTTTCTGTATGGAACCACCCTCCTGAACTAATTAATGAAGTTATTTCTTTTCTTGCTCTTCGAACACTTTTAAGACACTGAATCCACTTTTTCAGGGCATGCTCAGGTAAATCAGCCAAAGATTTCAAAGAGCATTTCAGGACACCCGCTCACAGTTACTAGCAAACTTGCCCCTTTCTAAAAAGCAAGGCCCTCAAAGGGCTCTCACTATTCCCCTCAGCTTCTGCACATCACTTCTGTTTTAAGAAGCAGAACTTAACTGAAAGGGGGTACTGAGGTTCATGTTGTTGAACAAGAAAGCAGAAGATTCTCAAAAAAATGCTCAAATACTCGCACACGAAATAAATGTGAGTTTTGATGGGTTTTTTTGAGGAATGGTCTGACCTCTGGTAGCACCCTCACCCCAAAATAAACGGCACTATAATCATCCCAGGGGTACAGCAGCACTGAAACAGACCTCATAACGAAGGGGCAGGTTTAGGGATAGTACTCTCCTGACACTCATAAATTAAGATATGTGCCTCCAAACTTCATCTCCAGGCTGCTGGCCTGACTTACAGGGAAAAAAAAAAAATAAAAATATCAGTATCCAAAGTAAATTATTCACAAGAATTAAACCAGAATTGGTTACAAAGCATTCTTAATTTTTCATCATCTCTTACATCCTGTACCTTTGTTAGTTGTACTTAGAAAAGCACCGCAAAAAATCTTTTATGCATTCTCAAATTGTCGGCCTTTCCTGGGCAGTATCTACTCCATTTCCTTACTTCAGAGAGGTCTGTTCTTACCATGGCTTTTCAATATAGCCTCACGGAAGTAAAATAGTCTTACCTGGTAGAACTACGACACCCTTATCCTTCACAATTTACCTTTGTTCTGGAGAGGAGAATAAAGGTTTGTCTTATTCAAAGCGTCAACTGACAACTTAAAGGAACAAATTTTTAAAGAAATTGTCCTTGTTAAAAACATTTGCATAATAACAATGAGTAATTCTTCAAACAGGTTCTCACAATGACAAGCTTTGCAGGCAAAGACAAAGATTTTTCTCGGTGTATGATGCCATGGGTGGAGGGCTAAAGTAACCGCACACCATGTGAAACCCTTTGCTTGTACACAAGGTAACGCCACCACCGTTACCCGGCCATGCGCCTACTGCTCCGTCAGTCCGATCCCGCTAAAGCTGTACTCACTGAACTATGTGCTACTGATTTCAGGAAAACAAACAGATAAATAAACCAAGCTGTACAAGTCAAACTTTCACCTCATTCACATTACCAAAATTTCAGACTAGTAGGGCACTCTACTTCCCTATCTAAGAATATGGAAGAGTAGTGGAGAGGAGATATTCCAAGCGTTAAATTGATTTGCAAAAGTGCAAGTACCAAAAAAGAAAGCAAAGAGGATTTCAATTTTTACAGGCTACATGCTTCAGGAACAAATTTCCCTTTACGTTAAGAATATTTTACTGTATTTTTGGCTATCTAAAAGAGCATTCTACTGAGGAACCATTCCAGCAACAAGGATCAGCTGATGAAGAAGGACACATCTCAAGTCCCTTGATATGGATGGGGGGGGTGGGGAGAGATCTATTTAGAAATTAGTTTTGCAAGTCATTAAAGGATGAGACATCCTAAAACATTCAGTTAAGAACGCACTTACTCAACTACTTAAAAAAAACCCTGCAGCAGCCTTTATCACTTCGGATTCATGGTACAATGCGCATATTAACGTTGACATTATCTGTTCCGACTATTGCACACATTTTATTGTTGCCATTTAAAGGATTCTAATAGGATAACACCACTGACAGATTAACTTTTATTAAACTGTTGATACAAGGTGATTCTTTTAGCATAAAGGCAAATAAAGACATTACAAAAATTATATAGTTACTAATAGGTTACAGATAAACTATTTAAAACAACATTATCTTTATAATATTGGTCTTTTCTTTACAATTAGAGACCAGAAAAATGAGGGGTTTCTGTCATAATATTTTACTAAATTAGCATTTAAATAATACCTGAGGCACTTTTCAGAGATTATTACAAGCTATGAACAATTAGCTCGTGCAGAGTTAGATCTGAAGAATAAGCCTACGGAATTAACTGTAACTTATGACAATATTGCTACTATTTGCTCTTGAAATCCAGGTACCCAGAAGCTTAAAGAGTTTGTAAAACACTGAGGCCAGCTCCAAGCTTTCTGTCTGTCTATACCAACAATTATGCTTCTCTCATATTTTTCACAAGCAAAAGATTGTTTAAATATGAATTAAGCCTCACAACACAACTGAAAGGTAGGAATAGAAACAGATTTTACATGGCCTGGAAACAGATTGTGGCTTGCTGAAAGGAAGAGGAAGCATGAGGTGGACAACTCCACAGGCTCAAGCATCCCACTTCATGTTCTGTTATAACACAGCACCTCTGACACTGCTCCAGCACACTGTATTATTTTGATAGTTCTCACTAAAACCATAATCACAAAGTAATATAAAATCCTGATACTATTATTCAGAGAGAACAACGTATGTTCCCAATCACAAGACCCAAACAAGGAGCAGACAAATTTTAAAAAAGGAGGTCTGTTGTACTTCAGTTGTTCTTCATTGCTCAGTATAAAACCTTTGCTGACTACAGAAAAATCACATCATATTTCTGTACGTGGACTTGCCAAAACACATTAAAATAACGGAAGTCAAATTCTGTGCTACATATATCCACAGCCAATGGGATAGAAATTCTTGCCCCTGATTTCAAAGCCTTCCTGAGGATAGGAGAGCTTTGCACCTTCCATATCTCACCCTACATCTACCTGCTCAGCTAGAGTATTTGTGCAAGAAATAAAAATAAACAAATTTACATTGCTATGACTAAGAGATCTGCAATGCATTCGTGGTCCCAAGCCGAGAGCACAGGGTGGACTTGAAATATGAAGTTCCTTGATCAAAAATTAAAAACAATTAGACAAGCTATTGGGATGGATGGAAGAAAGCTGTTTTCAGGGGGAAGGATTTTCTTGTTCCTTCTGGCGAATAGACCATCAAAAGAAAACGTTCACCCACAAGTGTCAGTTACTCAGTGTCATATCCCAGAATGGGTCCCAGCCATTTCTCCACCTCTGCCACAGACAAATTTTTTCTCAGTGCATAATCTTCAACCTGTAAAGGGATCACAAAACATGAGGAAGATTTGGAAACTTCAGCTTTTACTGTTTACAGAATTTTTTTTAGCTCACAAACTGTTTTTGAATGCTGTAACACTACCACAACAGACAGTGCAAGTTACCTGATCTTTAGATATCTTGCCAACAGCAAAATATTTGGATTTGGGACTAGAAAAGTAGAGGCCAGAAACTGCAGAAGCAGGTATCATTGCTAGTGATTCAGTTAAACCAATTCCTGGAAAAAAGAGTGAGAATTTTCTTATTCTCTGAATTGAAAATAAGCATAAATTCAAAACCTTTTTTTGTTGGGCAGCTTCAAGCAAACTCAAAACCCAAGAAGCTTTCAGATAAACTAAACCAAAACCATTTTCTGCATATTAACTACTAAAAAAATACACATAGCTTTAAATATATTGCAGACTTTCATGACAGTATTACTGTAGTTTGAAGGAAAAAAACTTAAGACATTTTGGCGAATGAAATGGGTAACTAGAGGTTTTGAAACACAGGAAAGTATTTTTGGAATTGTGAAAGTAGCAGTGAAATGTCCAACACGCAGAATATCAGAGGCAAACAAATGGAATTCATTCCTTTTTTAAGAGTTACCATCTCAAGGTTCCTGTGGACCAGGAAATACACTGCTGAATTGGCTTTTTTCCTGTTTGTATCTGGAATGTCTTCTTGCAACCATAAGGATGCTAGAATTTTTCTCTGTGCAGCAGAACCCTGTTTGCATGCAATCTGCTAATTAGGGACATAACTCCTTCACCAAAAGCACTGGCAGTATTTTGCAAATTCTTCCTTGAATGAGGCAAAATAAAAATTACAATGAAAAGGGGAAGACAGCAATTCCCAGAACTGCTTCAGTTCGGTTTTTTTATGTAGCTCCGCACCACCCAATTCATGTTTCGTTGGCATTTCAATCTTTAATTCCCATAAAAACAGTTTAAGCATCTTAGTAAAGCAGACAGAGGTACCTGTTGTTTCCTCAATGTTTGCAAGTTTCCACATGGTGAGTTTTTCTGTATGGTCAGGCTGGCTTGGATATCCAGGGGCAGGGCGAATTCCCTCGTATTTAATTCTGCGTAGGTCAGAGAGATCTAGCTGCTCAGTACTACAGTAAGCCCAGAACTCCCTTCGGACCCTTTCATGGAGCTCCTCAGCAAATGCCTTGGAATAGAATGCAAGGATTTTATTTTATTTCATTTTTAAATTTGTGCAACAATAGCTATTTGATGAAGACAATGGTAGAGGGTTTTCCCCACTCCTATTTTAATTTTTAAGGAAGCTCTTATCACAGGTGAGAAATTTTATAGCAATAAAATTCACATACAATACTTATTTTGCTAATTCAAATGTTTTCGTTTTTTCTCTTATTGGTAGACAGTGTTTTTTTGGTTGTCCTGCTTTAAAATGCTACATACTCAAACAGGTAAAGATGTGGTCAAGTAACTAGAAAAGATGAAGTTCATTATTAGCCTATGGTAGCGATATATCACTGTAGCACTCCAGTCGTTAGGCCTTGACTATCAGGGTGCGTCACTCAGGTGTAGCTATGGAAGGCCACATCACTCTTGCACCCACGCTAGTGTCAGCTGTAAGTGCGTGCCACTGCTCTGTTTAGCCGAGGACCTTTCCTCTCGCTGAAAGTGGGCAACTGCTTTGCGTAACTACTCTTACAGCTTACACTGTTTTGCCAGCAATGGTTGCCCTTCGGAGAAATTTCCACTTCAGTAAATATGTGGAGATGGCATCTAATAATAATCTCTGAAACTCTGTTATAGCCTGAAATACACGACTAGAGCTAACTCCGTTTGCACGGCACCGAAGTTGCTGTTAAGTTTTAATGCCATTACTTAGGTGTAAGCATGGAGGCAGGCAGATGGGGACAGAGGGGTAGGAGGGAAGGGATGGCATTTTCTAAACCACTCCACTTCGAGCTTTAAAAGCATGTCTGTCTAAGCCTAAGACATCTTAAGTCAGAAGACTTGTACCCTGGATACAACTGTGTGGTCACCATTAAAAGCAAAAGGCATGTCTGCAATTCAAGAATAGAATTGGTGGGTCACACCTGGGTCCAAACGCATTCTCATGTAGACAAAGCAAGATTTAAAGGTAGTTCTTTTTGAACAGTGTTGTTTTAAAATCTACTAAATTCTATCAATCATCAAAACCTTCCTAGAGAGCTCAGAGGTGCTTTTGCAGCTGGAAGAGAAGGGCAGCAGAGTCCCCTCTGGCTCAAAAGAGGACTCTCCTCTCGAGGCAATTTCAGTAGAACCACTTCACCTTTCAGATTCAATGCAGAGCACACATTACAAGCAACAGTCTATGTTGATGCTAAAGCTTGAAACAGCAACCCGTCAAGCAAATCTAGTACACGGTCAGAAAATTTGCAAGGAAACACATGATAAAACCTCATACCTCTGCCAACCGATCGCCAAGAGCCTTTACCATTATGACGTTGTATTCATCGTCCTGTTTCCTAAATTCACTGCATAACTCATCTACACCAAAGCAGGCCACAGCAAACAGGCCTAAGTAGTCACAAATGCCGGAGTCCAGTGGTGCTATGAAGTCAGAGAGGCAGTAATACGGATCTGTGCAGGCGGAGTCCTTTTCAGCCTGAAGTAACAAAACCAATGCAATAAATCAGAATATTAAGTATTAGTGCACTGTTAATCTAAAGACCAGTATTTTTAAGACTGAAGGTCTGACAAACAGGTAACTAGTCTTTGAGCCATGACAGCTTTCTTGTACTTGATTTAGAAGAAAAACACCTCTCTTACTCCGAGGGTGTTTGAATCACCGAAGAACAAAATGTCAAAGAGAGAAGCTGTGCTGAACACACATACAGAGATGTTTTGCTTCTATTTACAGCTACTAAAATTTAATGGCTTATTCTGCAAACAAATTATTACAAAATAAGGAACGCTCTTGTGCCAGCCACTGGGTAAGAGGAGGAATTTTCCATCTCTAGCATGGTTGATAGTTCACATCCCAGTTATGCAAACTGCGGAATTCTTCAGCAATTCTCTTTTTAGAGTAGGTGCCAGAGTTTATAATAAACACTCCTAGTTTCTTACCCTACAAACCATGTGCTCAGTAAGCCAGACAAAACAGTGCCCCAGGATGTAGGTTTACACTAGTCACCCCCAAATACAAACAAAATGCATCTGTCACAACTGACAAGTTGAATCTCAAGCAAAGCTCAAGTGGGTTTATGCAAATAAAAAATATCCTGCTCACTGGATCCTTTTCCAAAATGGAAAAAAAGGGAATAGAAAGAGGTGACCGAATGCTGGCCATAGCACCTAACAAGAAGTTTTAGAGTTGAGGATCATATCAGCATATTCATTGTGGGAAGACAACTGCTATTTTAAAAGTGGCACAGTAAATCTACTCAAGTTACAGAGCGAGAAAAGTTATTTCATGGCTATCACTTAGCTGAAGATTCCTCTCCAAATTTTCTTATTCTATGACAATATTTTAACAATGCTTTCCACCCACTCCCAACTGCATTTAAAAAAAACTACAAACAAACAAATAAAACACCACTACCACCACCCCTGAAAAACGAAGAAAAATGGTCAACAGTTTCCCTAAATTTCTATAACCTACTAGGGTACAGAAAGTACCATAAAACTGAAGAAATATCCTTTTTCCACACAGGTGAAATCTATGTTAATTTTAAGGTTCTTTCATAATGATTATAGTTAGGGAAAATAGGAAATACATCGCCAACTTTTAAACATCCATCACATCCTTAACAGTCTCAAGGTCATGGAGAGAACTCTGTGTGCTGAAAGAAGCGTTTTATCCAACAAACATGAGACAATTATTCTCTTCTACCTTGCTCTCGTGAAGCCTCTGCTGAATTACTATGTACAACAGATTGAAAGAGATGCAGCTAAAATACGTAGAGGCCAGAAGAACAGTACCCACAATAGCACAGACTTTCCTGGCCTTAATCTTTGAGAAAAGTCTGAATAAATTGGGAATATACAAGATAAAAAGACTAAGGAAAACAACAGTATTCCAATAGTAAAAAACATTACAAGAACAACATCAAATCTGATACTCTCATTGGGAGAACCCTGGGAAAAGGCTAGGAAAAGAAATGGTAGTAAACTTGATTTACATGGGATATCAAGATGTTTAACTAGGCCGTAAGGCCCCAGAACAGCCCTGCCTGAATGCTTGTGAGAACAGTTTATATAAACATCTGCCATGGATTGTCAAGGTACACTAGATCCATCTCCATGCAACAGATCATCTGTTCCGGGGAACTGGGACAAATAAAATCATGTATTTCTTAGTATAGTTCTGCAATATTGGTGCAGGACTGTCCTCATAGAATACCGTACGCCAGGAATGACTCTCAATATGTGAGCTATGAAGAAGCCGAGTCAGAAGCTAGGGAAGAAAAACAGGCAGAATATATTGAAAATGTTCCACCTATCAAAATAAATGCAAATCTACGTAAGTACAATTCAAGCGTGAATACTTAAAATAACGATTCTCTCAATCAGAATTAGCAGCCAACTAATTCTGAACTGCCTCTTCATATGGGGAATTTTACATGAAAATTAAGACTATCAAAACCACTCGTCTCCGTTGAGATTTATTTTCCAGGTATTTTAATTATAAAGTGTTTTCAACATTTAACACATTCAAGCAGAATTTCTTCATCTAAGGTAGAATCCACGGATATGAGAGAATTAAGGTTCATTAGGCTCTAATTTAGCACACAGGATCCACATGATGAATTTACAAAGCACAGTGCTTTAGGACATCCTCAATATTAAAATGAAGACAGAAAACGCACGTCATATCTGAAGATGTCAAATCTATAAACCATTTCGTACAACTACTACAATGCAACATACTACTAATACTACAATACAAATACCTGGGTCATCACTAATGAGATCTTGTTATTACTGGAACAAATGGCAAGACAATGGCTGCAAACAGATTACAACCATCTTCTGCACCCATTTTAATAGGGCAGTTCTGTTATGTTCTTGCAATTGAGGGAAAAAAAAAAATCACTTTATTTAACAAATGTTCTGTCATTGTACCTGTTGCCTTAAGCCATAAAATTTTGCTATTGGTTCCGAAGATCCCACTGCCTCTTCTACAGCATACAAATGGATATCATCTTGAACACTTCGAGCTGGCCAGAACCCAACCACACCTCTGGCTTGTAATTTCTTTTGATTAATCAACGTTTTCAGTAGATTTTGAGCATCATTAAACACTCTCTTTGCTTCTTCACCTATCAAAAAGAAGAGAGCCCTTTAGAAAAGGCCTGTTTTCACAACTGGCTAAATGGATTTAAGAATTGCTGAAGATTGGTTCATTCTCCACATTAATTCTCTGATGACTACAACAATCTGTCAGCTACAGCAAACAGAGAGATAGCAGTGTGATTCTGTCTATACATCTGTAACAACATGTATCCCCCCAAAAAACCTGTTTCAGCCGGCACCATTCTAGTAGAGGCAGAGGACGCAGAATAAAATGAGCAACAGAGAACATGTGTGTGCCCCTGCATTGATTTCAGTGTCACCCTTGCATTTTCATCATGTATTTCAAGGCCTACTGAATAGTTTCAAAAGGAGACAGAGCCCTCTTGCCATCTTCACCCACAACGGGGACACAGATACATTAAGTGCTCTGCTGCCATTTTCTGTCATTAAAATACCTCCCTGTGTTTTGCCAGGTGAATTCTAAGTAAGATGATTGAGCATTTTTCCTCATTTATTTTTCAGCCTCACACACTAACACTTGGTTCACTAAGTGTTGCTTTAAACAAATTATTTCAGTGGCACTAGGCGTCCATGTAATTTCACTATTCCCATTATTTCAAAATATTCAGAATCTTAATGCAGCATGGCAAGTCTGTTAGGATTATTTACATGAAATAAATGCAATTTCAATACTCACCTACAGTTTTATCATTAAATACTTTAGGGAAACCCCAGTTGGGATACTTTCCCCTAAGTTGCCAGACATCGAAGAAAGGCTTCCAGTCAATGTACTCTACCAACCTCTTCAGGTCATAATCTTCAAAGACTTTTGTGCCAATGAATTTTGGTTTAACTGTAGGAACCAGAAGTACAATCTGACATGACAGAAATAATTTAATATTCCTCTTATGTGCAGCACAACTGATGCTCACCAGCCTCCACCACTGCAAATGACCTTTTCCAAAGTAATTGTTTTAGAATTCTCACTGTCATATTGTTCCCAAGTCATACCATACTCTACAGTTACAATGTGATAGAAAAAAAAGCATAAAACGCATATAAAGTTGAACTAGAAAATTTAAGGCCTTTTGTTCTTTCATATAATCAACACTTACTAGCTGTTGGACTTCCAAACTTATTTCATTGGCCAAAATACCGGCCAAAACAGAAGACAAAAAAAAAAAACCCTACATAACAATACCTAACATTTTATGGGCCTATACCTTTCAGATTTATAAATCCCACTTTCTATACACAGCCATATTTGTGCTATACTACTGTAGAACAGTTCTGTAAATTCATATATAATTTATAAGGACTTTTGCAACCACCACACACTTGTTCAGATGCATGTGCACAAGTGAAAAAGGCAGATGGATCTTTGTTATGATGCAGTCACAAGCTTTGCACTTGTTTTGTCTGTGCTGTTCAATACTTTGTAACACAATCTTTAAGGCAAACTATTGAAAATTAGCATCTTGCTGAGTCTTGTAAATGAAATGACAGAGAGTGGTTAAATGTTAATGTCACTGCAGGATGCAGCTTCTTGTGAAATGCTGTTTATATTTCTAGTCTCTAATTTAAAAAAAAAAATCAAAACAAACTGGTACAGACACTGATGGGATAGGGGCAGGAAAAAGTGTAAGGAGGAACTTGATACAAATGCCATGTCACAACATGTGTTCCCTAAATATGATATAGTAAGGTTCGCAAGACAATGAGTCAGTCTGACATTATTTTGCAAAGCAGGCATTAGACTATCTTTGACTATATGGTGTTATGGGTAACTCATTGTTTTTGGATTTTTTTCCCATTTTTTTCTTAACTATTAATTTATTTTTTAAATATACTGTGAAAAATATAAAACAGAAACAGGATGCTCAAATTTAAGCAAAAAAAGATTAATTCTCTGCTCAGACAAACACTAATTTACTCAAGTTGTTACACTACTATATCCTGAAGTTTAACAAAGCATAATCTAATTAAAAATATATATAAATACATAAAATAAAATAAAGGAAAGGCACAGTAACAACAACCAACAACATTTAAACTGACCTGGTTTATGGCCTGATAACCAGTCATTATGGAAACCTTTTCTTCTAGCTTGCTGTAGAGACAAGTATCTTCTTTCCTGTATGGACATAAAGGTTAATTTCACACAGCCAGCCATCTTTCAGACGGATAAACTCTTAACTGTTGACTTGGTGGTAGAGTTTTATGCAAAATAGTCTTTGGGACAAATCTAACAACAGACAATTTCAGTTCCAGCAACTCCCAGCTCACAAGTGTAAAGTAAAATTACTCACAACCATATCATTATTTTTTCCTGTATACTTCTAAGGAAACTGGCCTACAAGATTTCTAGTTCCTTCGAACTGCACCAGAAGTTCCTTTATTACTTCAAAATACATGATAATATAGGTACAGCAAGATATTCTCCTACTGCCTGCAAAAAGCTTAGGACTGCAGTGACACCACCACCAGGGACTGCAGCATGCCTCTGGGCAAATTACCGGCTCTTCTGACAGGCACAGGAAATTTATAGCAACTTCAGTAACTTCAGTAAGGGCCGAATTCACTGCTGACCTCTGCTTAAAGGAGAATGTTGCACTCACGGATCTCAGCTTAGTAGACTGGTTCCCTGTGCAAAGAGAGTCTTCACATAACCAGAGAATCGATCTGGTTGGAAGAGACCTCTGGGATCATCGAGTCCAACCTTTGTCCTAACATCACCATCTCAACTAGACCATGGCACTAAGTGCACGTCCAGGCTCTTCTTAAACACCTCCAGGGATGGTGACTCCACCACCTCCCTGGGCAGGCCATTCCAATGCCTAACGACCCTTCCTGTGAAGAAATGCCTCCTCATTTCTAGCCTGAACTTCCCCTGGTGCAGTTTCAGACGATGCCCTCTTGTCCTGGTTGTCTGGGACAAGAAACCGATGACCCCAACTTTGCCGCAACCTCCTTTCTTAAACTTGGTCAAGCCAAGTATGTCCTCAGCAGGAGGCCTCAAGCTTTATCTTTCTCTATCAAGAGACCAGGTAAGAGCCAGATGACTTTCAACTTGCTTCTGTGTTTACTTACAAAGATGGCCTCAGAGGGATCCTATTGTTTCCTATTGTTAATTTGCACACTCCAGCTCCACATTTCATTGCTTCTTTCTCTTCACCTTCCTAAAATGGCAGCCTCAGCTCTCTACTTTGAGACTGCTCAGATCCCTCACCTAAACAATATGAAACACATCAGGAAAGCATGGTGTTGCAAAATACTCAATAGAGTATGGCTTTGTACCAGCAAAAGCAACCAGTGCTATCTTAATTACCCCAGTGTAGCTCCCAGTTCCCAGCTACTGCTCCAGGAGAGCACTGGTCTCCTGTAGATTGGTTAAGATGACGTGACTCTAAGCTCCATGAAGATGGCCTAGATACCACAGACTGCCCATTGAGGACAATCAAGAGTTTGCCAAGCATGTGTTAGACTCATGCAGAATTTTCCCTTATGGGTTGGAAAATTCAATTTTGTAAGCACTTCTGGAAGTTTTCCAACAATTCTACTGCATGTTTTAAATCAGAACAAGTATACCTGAAGGTCTTCATAAGGAGCTGAAACTTAGTAATAAGGCAAGTACCAACCACTTCAAACAAGAAAAGAAGCTAAATCAATTACATTTGTACCTTGAGAGACTCATAGTGTTCTTGTCTAATTTCTTCATATTCCTCTAATATCTCTTCAAAGAAATCATCCTTTACACTCTCGTCTAACAGCTGGGAGCACTGAAAAAAAAGGAAAGACAAAGCACTAAGTACACACTATAACACACTATAGTAAAGACAGAGTATGAACTTTAGACTAAGCCATCTATCTTTCAGACTCGCTTCCAATTACACTTGACAACACTAAATTAAGCCTTATGACTAATCTGCAAACTAGATTTAAAATATATTTAAGAATATGAGTATTATAAAGACCATTGCCCTACTACACAGGTAATATTAGCAGAGCCAAGCATGACTCTGGAAAGACCTGAGAGAAGAATACTCCAAGACTTTAGAGACTGAATAGTTGTAGAAACACCACACAGCTTGGCCTACTTCTTTCCAGCAGGTATTTGCCAGCTAAGACTACCCATTTGTCTGACAGAGCTACTCCAGCCACACGTTTCATAGGACTAATGTTGCCATATTGCTAACTTCAGAAATACATCCAAAATAGAGAGAACAGTAGTTCACATCTAACCCCATCACTCTTCACTATAAAACATCTCAAAACTACAGTCAAGGACTCGGAGTGAACTCTGTCACTCTCATTAGAGAAATGGGCATTTAAATAAAGGTATCGAGGGACAATTATTGATATAAGTCAGGTGAGAGAACCATGTGGCAGCAAAAAATAACTGAAGCAATAGTAGTTTAGAAACCAGTCTGTCGTGCCTCTTCAACCTTCTGCCATAATGTTAAGCCTTAGAGGAAAGGATGAGAGGCACAACAGAGTAACAGGGCATGTATTTTTGCATGGATGAGAAACTATAATTTAGAACTTACAACCACAACACTCTTGGATGCATCCAGGACATGAATTACAGGTGCACTATATCGTGGGGCAATTTTAACAGCTGTGTGTGTTCTTCAATGAAATAGAAAAAGAGTGAGCATTTCACAACTGAAAAAAAAAAAAACAAAATAAAAAAGAAAACAAAACCACAAAACCCAGACAAAACCCAGTGAAAAAACAGACAAAACCCAGTGAAATAAATCCTGACTTAATGCATAGACCAGAACTTCAAAAGAAGAACACAATTCGTCCATCTGCTACGCATGGATGATTAAACACAGATTTTAATAATAGGTACATAAACACTTTTCTCTGAAGAGTATCAGAATACTTCATAAATAATGTGCCAACTCACATTCCCTCACTGTCTTACCAGCTGGCTGAAAATCAGCAACTCCTTAGTTTGAGTCTCAGAAAATTTCAGTGAGAATGTTCCAAACTAAGCCTACCAAGAACTAACAAATTTTTTTTAAGCTCTTTTGCTCATCTTACATTTTTCCCTCCCACATGCTAGTTTCTGGGTCTATGGATTAGCATTAACATATTTCAGTGATGATTATTCCATTTCTATGATGCTCTACTTCAAAACCGGAGGCACAAGCCCTCTACTCACCTGAAGAAGGAATTCTGCCAGTGGTCAGTAAATATTACAAACTTGCACCTGCTTGGTCAGTCAAGTCATTCACATAAAAAACTCCCAATTCATGCAATTATTTAGCATTTACTCATATTCCAGTCCTCACTGAAATACACTGGCATATAATGAAGAATCACTTCGATATTATAGTAGTTTGTTGATCAAATTAAAGTTTGGAGTCCTAAACCGAGGACTAAGCTATCATATGAAATGCAGCTGACTACCCCTGCTGCTCAAGAGTCCTGGCAGATTGTGCAAGCAAGTGCAGGAACAAAGACCTTGCAGGTCAAAATTCAGTTTGCTTTCTTCAATGATAAAGTCAAACACCATTTTTCAAATTAATTTATATCAGAGCCCAGGGAGCGATCTTCCACAGCAAAGATAAGATCTCCTTTTTCTTCAGGTTCTGTCAAATATTTAAAGCACTTAGACACAGAGGTTACTGATGACTGTGCACCACAGCTGTGTAACCAACTGTCCAGGATATTCTTAATTTGCTTCTAGGTGATGCACTTTTGATCTTGGTAGCTCTGATTTTTAGAAAAAGATAGCGTATCTTCTATTTTGATAGGAACAGACAAAGGAAACAAACAGGGCATGGTCCTACAATGGCACTGTATCAACTACTACATGTTTCTTTTTTAAAAAAATAAAAATTAGTATTACCAAACCAAAAACGTCACCAGTATTTCTCTGAATCTACCAAAGCAGTACAGGAAGAATGCAAACATCATCATTATTGCAAGTTACACAGAAACTATTTCTGTAGTCAAAATCCAGCCTCTCTCCCTTTCAAACTAACCTCGCTTTCCACCCTTCCAAGTACTTATGGTCTCCTTCTTCCATATAACAATGTCTACTTATTACAGAGAAAAAGTGCAGATGGTTCTTCATTAGCAACCTCTGACACGTACACAACCTTTGAGAATAAGCACATGACATTAAACTTAAGACTGGAAGTAATATTAAATATATATTACCAATCCAGTCTTCCATAAAGAATACCTTTACTTGAGTTACATTTACAGAAACTGTATGTGTCTGGGCATATGCATAAGTATATATTTATATACAGTTCACACGAATAAAATTAGTATTTATGTATACAAAATTATACATATATTCTTCAATAATTTCCATATTCAAGGATAAAACTAGTGCCGCATTGCTGCTGGCTACATTCATCTCTGTGAATAAATTCTACAAAATTGTTCGATGCTGGTTATTTGACATCAATTACTAGGCCACAATACCCTAGGTACAAACACGAAAAAGATCTGAAGAAAGGGCTCTCCTAAGACATCCACTTAGAAGAAAGCTTTTTTTTTTTAAAAAAAAGAAAAAACCCTCCATGTTTGTTGTCAGTATCAAAGCCATAGGAAAAGAATCTTACAAGGAGAAGGAGAAAAAGGATACAGTTAACCTTGCGTTGTAACTACAGGACCAGTAAAGACAAGGAGTGATCCTACTCTTCACTGTCTGTCAATTTATGGGACTATTTGCTAAGACCAAAAATACAGAATACAATGGCTCTGCTACGATATGTGCTGCTCCGATAAAGAAAACAACACTGCTAACAGCTCCTAGTTATCCAAGAAATGACCTCTGCAGTCATCTGAGCTGTCACCTACTCAAGCATATCATACATAAACCAGTTAGCTAGGCGTGACCCAGGGCCGTTACACATGCCCAAAACACATTTGTGGTAATGTTAATACTAGGTGTCAGTAAGCTGTCAACGCTGGTCTTCGGGATATCATAGCAGCTGTATTATTTCATTTCAACGGATCTGGGAATAAGGTCTCAGCAGAAAAGCTCAGCCTTTCAAAAGCAACAAGGTAACCACCCCAAGGTGGGCAGCTAGAATTTATCCCATCAGCCTGCTTGGACAGGACTGGGGGCTCAACCCAGTCAGCACAGCGCTGAACAATGATCCAAGAAAATACGTTAACTTTCTTAAAGACAATAACTCCCTGATGTCAACATGACCATTCCTAGTCTCAAAATCACACATTTTCAGAATGCTTTGGTGAATAAAAACAGATCATTCAGCCCCTGAGAAGAAGAGAACTGTATTCATATGCATATGTGTGTGAATTTTTAGAAGGAAATATAGTACTTCCACATACAACACACACTTGCAAAATATATAACACGAGCAAAAATTAAATGCTTAAGACATCCATTATTTATGGTGTCCCAGTTACATTTTACCTCTACATTCTAGGACTTCTGATATAAGAAATAACGTTCAGTCTTAAGTAAATACATACAGTATGTGTGTTGGGGGAAAAGGAGGGAAAGGGAGAGAGAAATGGCTATAAATTTTCTTTTTCCCAGGTTAACACTATTTCATACACATTCCCAACTGAGATATCTTACTTAGAAGTAGTTGCTCCTCCAATCAGCAAAGGAATCTTTATTGCCAATCTCTCCATTTCCTTGGCGACAAAAATCATTTCATCCAAAGAAGGGGTGATGAGACCAGACAGGCCAATTATATCTATTGCAAATTTACAAACACACGTACACAGAACGTTTAGCAAATCCACTCTAGAAAGACACAGAAATTATTACAGAAAGGTTTCTTTCATACATCAGATAGCTTCACATGTCAGACTGAAAGTAGTGAGATAAAAAGCAGGATAGTTGCTAGTCTAGAAGCGAGGTTTGACCTAATTAGAAAGTGAAAGCTTTCCAAGAATGGAAGTGATTCCAAATCCCCAATTTAAGGTATTTCTCAAACAGTCTTCACAGCTGCTGAACACCTACTGCTCTAGTTTCAGTAACAAATATACAGTACTTGTGATTAGCAAGCTTCAGACCTCAGAAGTTCGGCACTGAGGAGGGAAATAAGACAAAATAATTATAAGCTCTGCTCTTCGAAAGAGCACTTTCAAACTTCATCACCTATGTTCCACACAATCCATCTTTTCCAAGATGCAATAGATTGTTTCAAAGCAACTGTAACTTGTTTCAGAAAGTTCATTGTTTAGTCGAACAATTCAGTCCTGATTTCACACTCACTGATCTGGCAGGCTGAATGCCAAGTTCTTTTACCGATTTAAGACCCAACTTAAAGTTATTTAACCTTTCCAAGTCTCCATTTATCCACCTGTAAAACATCTCCCTTGGAGTTGTCCTTTTGATACAGGTTTTCAGTTCCTCTGGCTAAGTTTCATGGTAGTGCCAATTACTAAATAATTACTATGATTAATGCAAAAGTTCTCATTTATCTGCAGACAGTCTGACCAAATCACAGACAGCATAGGAATGCAATGAGTAGCAATAAAAAACGGCAGTAGGGTTTAAAATCAAACAATTCAGGAGTACTAATGAAATCTTTCTATACCTGCTTTGTGCTCAACAGCAGCTCTCAGTATCTTATCACAGGGAGTCATGACTCCTAAATCAATAACTCTGTGAAAAGAAGTGAGATGACACAAGATTCTTTTAAAAACAGGTCAAATTTCTGCTAAAGGGCAAATACATTGCTTTAACTGTAAATAACTGACCTAAAATTGAAGTTAAAATTGAGATTTTTTTTGTTTAAGACCTCTGTTAGGAATTTTAATATAGGAAATACCTCTGGGTCTGGCAAAATTTTCAATATATCAGAGTTCCAGATGATACAGTAGATAAGAAACTTCAAGTATAAGAGGCTTTGGTAAAACAAATTTTTTGTGGTTGTACTGAGTCTGGCTGAGATAGAGTTAATTTTCTTCCTAGCAGCTGGTAAGGTGCTGTGTTTTAGATCTGTGACCAAAACAATCCTGATAACACATTTCTGTTTTAACTATTGATGAACAGCAGTTGTCCAGCATCAAGGCCTTCCTGTTTCTCGCTCTAACCCTGCAGGGAATAGACTTGGGGTGCACAAGAGGTTGGGAGTAGACACAACCAGGCAGATGACCCAAAGAAGTATACCATGGCCCATGATGTCATGCTCCGCAATAAAAATGGAGAGGAAGGGGTTTAGCAGGGGTTAGCCATCTTTTGTTGAGGAACTGCCTAGGCATCAGTCTACCCGTGGGAGGTGGCGAGTGGTTGCCTTTGTTGATTCACTTGTTTTGGTTTTTTCCTTTCTCTCTTCTTCGACTTCTCTTTCACTTATTAAACATTTATCTCCACCCACAATTTTTCTTGCTTTTATTCTTCTCTTTGTCTTTCCCCATCCCACTGAGATCAGCTGGGTGGAAGTGACTGAACGGCTGTGCGGTGCTTAGCTGCCTACCAGGATTAACCAACAGCAGTGGCATTTCTGAAGCTATTTGGACAGTATGAAAAGGTTTTGTGGACATCACATATCAGGAATATAAGATGATTCACATCAGGGTTTTTTTGTCTTACTGAAGCATACATTTTATGAAATGAGACACTGTACTTCCCTTGCTAGCGTTTTCTTCCTATTAACTCTAGCCATTGCCAAGATTTTTATTTTTTTCACATAAGCCAGCCCAGTCTGCTAGCTTCATTCAGCCTCACTCATACTCATGGTGACAGAAAGCACTATGGCTTCAGTTCAGTAAGTCTAAATAAAGCTCAAGAAAGCCCGAAACCAATCGACAGAATTTCAAGAGATAACGAAATGGAATATACTGCACACACAAAGCACTGCCACTGGCTTCAGCCCTTTGTGGTTTAAAATAAAGACATCATTTTGGCCTTTTTTAGAGCAAGTTACAGCCTCGAGTCAAAAACAAAACTAAAGGAATGAATGGTAAGAGTTCCAAAGTAGGTTCATCTTTGCTCAACATTTGACAGGTACTTGACATAGAGCTCTGATGGAAACGTGACCATTCATTCCAACACTGTTGCCAACCCTGCTGCACGCACACAGGCCTTGAAAGAGCTGACCTTTCTTGAAGTTCTGTCTTTTGAAGCTCAGCAACAGGACAAGAATCTCATCTCTTATTTAACAAAACATATCCCAGGAAGTTTTTAAAACCTTGCAGTTAACAAACAGCTTGAAAAAAACCACACTAAAAGGTTCATTTGAATCTTACAAGACTTCCTTTTTCCCAACACAACCCACAATCCACACATAGTCTTGCCTACTGCAGTCGTTGCATCTGATTGCTTCAGACTTTATACTTGCATGTTTCAGGCATTATACTTATTATATTTAACTAATATAAAACAAACACAAAAAATGATGCTCTGATCCATGTTTCAGTTGATGTTAAACTGCATTCACCTCAAATGCCAATTTATTAGGAAAAAAAGTATCAAAGGAGGAGACTATACTCTCTCTTCCTCCCCCCCCGCCCCCAACTAATAGCTGGTATGATCTGTGTTCCCAACCACAACTTGGGGAACAGAGGACAGCCCTCAAGAAATGCCCACCTCTGTTACCACCACAGCTGCAGCTAGCCTTTAGTTAACCTTAAACAGTTGTGTTCCCAGCTACCTAATCTTAGCCTCCTTACCTGAAGTTGTTGCAGCCCAGAACAACTCCCACAATGTTCTTGCCAATATCATGTACGTCTCCTTTCACAGTTGCTAGTACTATTGTACCATGATAAGGATCCTGAAAATGGAACAAATAAAACAAGAGCTAAATTACTCAGAAGCCTCAGCATGTTTGCACAGATCCTTCAACAGTGCAATCCTAATCCACGACCGAGACTCCTACTGTAGTACAAGTAATTGCAAAGCGTAGGAGAGGTAATATAGTCAATATTAAAAGCCATTGAAAAAGATCCAAGTAATAAAAACTTGCACAGGAATTATTCCTGCAAATTGCATGCATGTTATTTAAAAATCTGTGTTTAAAAAAAACAACATGGCAGATAAAAATTTTCAGATCTGGATAGCATTTTGTGCAGTGCAATAACTCAACTCCTAAGGTACCTCTGCTCCAAATATAAACCTCACCAATAAAGAGTTTCAATAGATGTAATATCTAGAACAAACACTCACAATTACACGCCTGTTCGTGCATCAAGAACAATCTTTCAATGCAATGTTGAGAAGAATGAGAGGAATTAGCAAAAGCAAAAGAGATTAATTTTTTATGAAACACGAATAGCAAGGGAGACATTTCAGTGCAGTGATCAGGCTACTTCAGCCTACCCAAGCTGAACAAACAGGCTGGAAAAAGGATCTCCTTGAAGAAGGGAAGCCGTACTGTCACAAACTGGTCCTAGGCCAGACTGCATTCAGCCCTGACAAAGGGGGCAACAGTGGCACTTCCTACAGCAATTCTCCCCCAGGACACAGGCCTTTGCGACACATTTTTAGCTGTATAATCAGTGTTGTCATTTGGAGCAGCTCCAGGCTATCACAGTGCCACGTCTGAGTTGGTGCAGGATCAGATGCCAGTAACAGACTAAAATCGCACAGAATTTAAATAAAGTGGAAAACTGAGCATATTCTCTATGAAGCTACAAAATATTTTTCCAGCCAGTATCTCATCTCCTTTGCAGACGGCCGAACTGGAGGATTACGTCCTTCTATGAAGCAGGTTATATTTCTGGACAGTATCGAGTAGCTCTCTACTTCATGAACCTACCCTGCCTTCTTTATATATTACCAAGAGTGATATTAGCATTTCCCATGGTCCTAACACATTCGTTGAATAAAATCCTTGGATCCTCACCAATGCTGCTGTTCACTAATCCCCAGTGCTCCTGTTTTACCGAAGACCGGAGAACAGAGAAGGCAAAATGGAGGTCTGTAAGTCAGCTATCTCAGTACATCAATAAAAAAATTTGCAGCTAAAAATATACTGCTGGAACATAACAGAAAACTGGGGAAAGAGATTAATCAAGGACTGAGGGAAGAACAGAAAGTACTGCCCACATGTATCATACCCAATAACTACTGATGATTTAACTAGTGATTGATATCCAAGGAAAAAAAAAGTCATCTTTGCACATAAGAAGACAGAAAATCTACGCTGGGCAGCAAAGAATATGGGTCAGGGCACCCACCATTTTAAATAAATCCTATTTAGGGCACACTGTGATTTCTGTTGTCTCAAGCAAGGAGGTCCTCAAGTTCTGGGCACACATCCAAAGGGCTGCTTTTTTTTTTTTTTTTTAAATCTTGATATAGATTCACAGCCACAGCTATTTATCCTCAAATGTAACCATCAACGCTTTGCATTTCCTGGCAGTCTGAGACTAAAACTGTCCTGGAGGTTACAGTAGCCTGGGTAACGTCAGACAGATCAGCCACCAGCGTCCGCAAATCATTTTCCTTCAAGTCAGCATCTACCTGTGGAGACAGATGCAGCTGTTTTTTCCTCCCTCATCAATTCTCTATACAGTGACAACATTTTTTTGAAGAGGAAGGCCCTACATCCCTTGTCCAGCAGAAGGTAGAGGAGGCAGGAGGCCAGAAGCCCTACTTTTTCCCTCCTGCTCTCCTCAGCCACACAGAGTATCTCACAATCTCTTCAGAGTGCTTGCTATATTTTTAAGAACCTCTCAAATTCCACTTCACTTCTTTTTAGGCAGAGAATTAAAGTGCCAGAGGGTTCACAGTAGATCCTAATCCAGTGCTCATGGAAGCAATGGGGTAATGATTTTTCACTGACTTCAAAGAGCACCAGAACAAACCAGAAGGTGCCAAATACCGACATTCTCATCTGAATTAAAATAAAAAAGAACAGCAAGAGCAGGAGAGAGATGACACATAGAAAGGTGACTCATGACAGCCAGAGAACAGATCCGCTTGAGATACTGGAGAGAAAAGACACCTTCTTCACATCCAGCACAAGCATGGGAAAAGAGACTAGGCGTTCTCCTTCTTCCATTAAGATTAGTCAAGGTTTGATTATCAGGTTGTTTTTCTTTCTAAATTATCTGCTGTATTCTTTACATTTATGCTGGACAACCACACAACAGATCCACTGCAAATGGAAAGATACAGTGTAAGAAGATTTTAAGGGAAGAATTAGGAACCATTCAAAAATCCACAGAAGGGAAACCAAAGGAAATACACAAATATCATAGTTTAGAGAAATTCTGCTATTCTTCCTTTTTGTGTGTGAGTGTTAAATACCAGATTCTGTAATAGCTATTGTCTCTGAGAACTCATGAAGGCAAGGTTAAGGTTCCACAGGACTAAAGAAAAGTAAACGTGCATCAAATCTAAATTTGACAGTCAGACAAAGACAAGAGAAGAAGAAAAAAAATTAACAACTAAAACTGTAAGCACTTATCACATTATAAATATAGTAGGAAACAGCAGACCTGAGTATTTAAAAAAGGATTTTGTCCAATTCATCTGAACTCTCTTTTCTACTGAATAGAATCTTGTCAGTATGGAGAAACAAGGGTCATCCTATGTATTCATTTTCCAGTGCTCCTATCACATAGGCCATTAATCAAATTGGGAAGAAATTACTTTAAGTATATGCACAGGTAGCTGATAAAGCTATTCTCAGGCATCACCAACTGCTGGCTATAAACCAGGAAATGCTATAAAGGAAAGGTCCACAAGGATCTGAAAATCACTGGCTATCTTCAATTATACATATTTTATATATTACATAAAAAGTAGTCTTCAGAAACTGGTGGAAAAACACACATATGAAACAACAACTATAATCAGACCCTGTTTTCACAAGCACTTGTCCCCTGCAATTTGGTCATGCCTACACATGCAACAAGCATATCAGTCTATCCTAATGAGAGGTCTTGAAGTCACAATCTATGAAGAAAAAGGATGGAAGAATTTGGTTTGTTTAGCTGGGAGAATGGTCAGGGCTAAGGGAAAGGGAAGAGCTGAATAAGGAGAAACATGGTAACAGGCTTTGAACATGCAAAAGGGAGTTCCAGAGGTCACTGAGGGCAGAAGTAGTAGAAGCAAATGGCAAAATTTGCCATAGAGTTAGAAATACCACAAATAAATCATACTAGAATCAAATGCCTATAAAAATACAAAAAATAAGTAACACTGGTATAAAGGGCCTACAGAGGCTTATGGCATCCTTCCGGAAACTTGGGCCAACAGCTTCAGCACACACCAAGCAGAATTCCACAAAATGTGCACTTTATGAAATTCAGACCTACTTCAAATTATGCCAAGATTATCAGTTTCCATACAACTGCATCAACTCTCCAGCATGAAAGCTGAATGTCATTAGGGAAAAAAAAATTCCATTTTTGTCATAGAATCATTATGGTTGGAAGAG